CCCCCCCCCCCCCCCCCCCCCCCCCCCCCCCCCCCCCCCCCAAACACACCACGAGCACGCTCATGCAGCGGCCCTTGTGAAATGGATGTGTGCAGGGGTAATTTTGGGCAGAAGAAGTACGAAGACTTTCTAGAATCTGATCCGGGGGCAGTTCTCAAGAACATTAGCACTTTCTCGACTGAATATAGGCGTGAATTTGGCTAGATACGTTCAAGAAGGTAACGCCAATTTGTTTGGATAACATGCCCTTGTTTTGTAACAAGTAGAAGGTGTGCTTATCGTATGAGAAAGTCGAGCCGGGTGGCTCTGAGATGTTAAACATCCAGGAGTAGAATGGCGGCTGGTACTTGGAGTCTGCCACTGATTGTGGAAACCTGGAGTTCACTCAGATTGAATAATCTTCCAAAAGATCGGAGACCCAGGCTTGGACCTGGGGAAAACCTGGACCTTAGCTCGGTCGTGCCAAATTGGTCGTTCAAAGGCGCTCCGCTGCACTTGGGTCAGCGCGGAGGCCGTCCAAATAAACGAACAGAGGGTCTACCCTTGCGCCCCAGCATGCCTCTGGCAGCAGGACCAAGTTCTCGTGGCGACTTTCTTAAGCCTGTTGCTGGTGCTTCCTTCCCTCACCGACGTCGGCGATCGGAGGAGGGAATCCTCACGTCCGTGGTAGGTGCCTCCTCCTCTCCTCGAGGTCGTCAGGAAATAGAGGAGAGAGCCTTGCCAATGGTGTCTGCAAGGCTTGACGCACCACCGGGGGTCGAGCAGGCATGCAAGGAGAAGAAAACGGAGAAAAAAGGATTGGGGGGGAAGGTATTTGTGGTGTTTGGTGGGGGTGGGTACGTCGGCAGCCGTCTGTGCTTGGAACTGGCTGCTATGGGAGCTTCTGAAGTACGTGCATTTGACCGGTTCATGGATCGGTCTGTTTCCGAGCTTCTGAAGGAAAGAGGCATTGTGTGCTTCCTCGGAGACTCGATCGAGAAGGATGAGATTGTATCCGCTGTCCGAGGAGCCGATTGCGTCTTCCTTGCCTCCCCGTTTGGAGCATCTGATCCTAAGAATCTTTTTCAAAGAGACCACTTGCATTTTGTCAATCTGAGGGATATTCAATGTATAGTTGAATGTTGCCAGGGCTTGGGGGAACTTACGGCGCTCATCTACAGCAGTCCTTGTCTGGCGCGTCATCGGGACTGGGGGGTTGAAGAGTTGAGGGTTGGCGATGATCCTGGTAGGAGTTGGGAGTCGTTTGCTGGCCCTTCTTCTCGACTTGGTACAGAGGACACGTGCGAGGAGGACATCCTTGGAGCAGAGAACATGGAGACATGTATGGACAGGAATGGCGTTGCAGAGCTGCTGGTCTTGAATGCGGGCAGGCATTGCGGTGAAGGGGTTTCGTCATCGAGCAGCGATGCCTACTCCTTGTTGAAAGGAGAAAAGAGCAAGTGTCAGGAGACAAATGTACTGGCGGGAGAGCTGTCATCTTCTGCAGGCCGCCGCTTGCGGACGTGTGTCTTGAGGCTGCCTTTTGTCTATGGACCTGAAGAGAGGGAGCATCTCCCTAGTGTCATGGCGTTGATTCGTTGGGGACTCTTCTTCCCTGTGGGCGATGGAAGTCTGCTCCAGGATTTTGTCCACGTTGCCAATGTCGTCGAAGCTCACGTGCTGGCCTATCTGGCACTCGCTGAGGAGGAAGAACAAACACTGGACTCCGGGCGGAAGAGACAAGGATCATTGAGAAGAGAAGAAGAGGACGGAGCATCCCGAGATGTGCAAGAGGAGCTGCTCAGATTGCCAGTCAAGAAGAGATGTTATTACATTTCGGATGGGGAACCACCCATCAACTTCTTTGAGTTCTACCGTCCACTGGTTGTTGGTCTTGGTCGGTCTCTTCCTTCGTGGCGATTGCCCAGTTCCTTGGCTTTCGCCGCGGAGACGGTTGCCAGGCGAAGTTATCTTTTTCTTCTATCATGTCTGCCGAAAGCTCTCCTGAATCCGGTCCTCATCCCTGCCGACATGTACCGTCTTTCGCTCGCTGACAGCCGTCCAATGTCCATTTCAGATCCAGCAGAGGATCTGAGCTATGTGCCAGTTGTTTCCCGAGACGAAGGGATGACGGAAATTGTGAAGCATTGCAGGAGTAGAGTACTGGAAGGTGTCGAAGGCCCCATTTTTTGGGAATGGGTAGCCATTTCGACCGGCCTTTTGATCACCTTCCTTGTCGGATATGCTCCACTCGGTAGCTTAGGGTCCTTTGAGCGTGTAAGGGACGTAGGGTTGCTGCTGTTTGGAAGTGTGGAAATGCTTCGCCAAGTCTTCTGGTGGGCCTTCGCCATTCATGTTGTGGAGGCGTGCATAGCTTGGGCACTGGCTCGGCAGATTGAGCCACATAATTCCACTGGATGGTTCTTGCAGACCTTCTGGTTGGGTATGTTTTCGCTACGATTCTTGCTCCACCGATGGGGGAATCGGGAAGGATCTGCTGCTTCTGAGGTCAGGCTTCCACGGCAATGACTTTTCATTTCATATGGTACCTTACCTATGCTTCTTGTCGTTCCTCAAACCATCTATTTTGGCTGTGCTCTGATTGAAACCCCCCTTCCCCCCCCCATTGCTTGGGCCTGAGAAGCGGGGGTCAGGCTCTTCTGATGAGCAGTTGAGCCCGGTTGTGCTGGCAACCACTTGTAGTTGAATGTCTCTCTCTCTCTCTCTTTCTTTCTTTCTTTCTAGCTTCCTTCCTTCCTTCCTTCCTTCCTTCCTTCCTTCTTTTCTTTGTTTGTTTGTTTCTTTCTTCATTTATTTATTTATTTCTGCATGTGTTATTTATTTATTTGTTTGTTTAAGGGGTTAGCCCTTAACATGAGTGTATTCCTCAGGATTTGAGCTTGTGATCCGCTTGGCAGCGGTTACATGTGTGTACCATTAGCCTTCTTCAAAGAGCATGTCCTCCAAGCCTGACCTTGCCCTTCAGAGTGTCCTGCAAACTTTTGTGTACTTGCTCCTCTGCCTCATTTGTCTCGTGACCTCCTCATGCATCAATTGTGTCTCTCCTCTCTTTCATTTATAACTGTGCTGTGGGGTGCTGTCTCCCCTCTCTCTCTCTATCTCTGTCTGTCTGTCTCTCTTTCCCCCCTCCCTCCTCTCTTCCTCCCCTCTCCCCCCCCCCCCCCCCCCCCCCCCCCCCCCCCCCCCCCCCCCCCCCCCCCTCCTTCCTTTCTTTTTTTTTTTTTTTTTTGGCTCTTTTCTTTATTTTCACTGGTATTTT